TGCTTGCATTTGCCAGATGCTTGCATTTGGCATATGCTTGCAGATCGCATATGGCATATGCTTGCAGATCGCATATGCTTGCAGATCGCAAATGGCACATGCTTGCAGACTGTGTATGCTTGCATAATGCAGATGCATATCGTATATTGCATATCGCATATTGCATATTGCATATCGCATATTGCATATTGCATATTGCATATCGCATATTGCATATCGCATATCGCATATCGCATATTGCATATTGCATATCGCATATCGCATATCGCATGTCGCATATTGCATATCGCATATTGCATATCGCATATCGCATATCCCATATCGCTGCATATGGCATATCGCACGCATATCACATACCGCATATCGCATACCGCAAATTACATATCGCTGCATATCGCATATCGCTGCATATCGCTGCATATTGCATATCACATATACATATATGTACATATATGCACATATATGAAACATAAAACATAATCGCGGTAGGGATCGAACCGGCGACCTCCCGTTATTATGGGCGCGGTCTTAATCGCGTATGGCACGCTCCCGGCGCGGAATTTCCAAAACGCTCCGGACGGACGGACAGACAGACAACTAGAGCGCGCTGTTCGCGCGAGTGGGCCGTAGCTCCTGTGCTAGCTGATGGCTGATGTGGTATATGCTTGCAGATTGCGAATGTGGTATATGCTTGCAGATTGCATATGCTTGCAGATCGCATATGCTTGCAGATCGCATATGTTTGCACATCGAATGTGGCATGTGCTTGCAGATCGCATCTGGCATATGCTTGCAGATCGCATATGCTTGCAGATCGCATATGCTTGCAGATCGCATATGCTTGCACATCGAATGTGGCATATGCTTGCAGATCGCATATGCTTGCAGATCACATATGATTGCACATCGCATGTGGCATATGCTTGCATATGAAGCATTTGTGCATATGGAACACATGTGCATATGTGCATATGTGCATATGTGCATATGTGCATATGTACATATGTGCATATGTGCATCTGAAGCATACGTGCATATGTGCATATGAAGCATATGAAGCATATGAAGCATATGAAGCATATGAAGCTGCACATCGCATGTGGCATATGCTTGCATATGAAGCATTCGTGCATATGAAACACATGCGCGCATGTGCATATGAAGCATAGGTGCATAGGTGCATACGTGCATATGAAGCGCGTATTAAGCGGGTACGGCATTACTGTAATGTAACAGAAGACTGCATCTGCTGCAGATGCATATGCTGA